GAAGGCAGACGCTTAACGACTGAGCCACCCAGGCGCCCCAGAGGGGTGGTTTTTAAAGGAAAATCTCTACAGTGCTAGGCAGGCAAAAATAGCAGACGTTGGCCACAGGTGATGTAATGGGGAAAAAATGGGTTTGAGTCCAGACCCTGTCACTCACTAACTAGCTGGGAAAAACTGAGCAAATTATCTAACCTCTCTGAGCCTCAGTTTTCTCATCCAAATAATGGGATTAGTCTCTATCTATCGAGTGGGGTTAAATAGGAAAAAGCATAAAAGGTGAGTGACATGTGGGAGAAGCACAAGAGATGTTCAGCTCGGGATGCTGTGAATTTAGGTTAGTGATTCCAAGCAAACATTTCATTTCAATACAAGAGCAGTTCTTTGAAGAATAGCTTCCCTTATGTACTTTCCTGCTAAGTGAGGGCTCCTAATTTTCAGCCTGACACATCCAGATTTTATATAAGATAAAGCCTTGACAACTCAGTTATGGAGATTTCTGTTTAATTTTCTTGTTAACTCAAGATTAATTTGGCTGAAAGATTCTTTGGGTTTCAAACCTTGGCACTGAAAATCAGTCTAAATTGTCTGAATCCATTTGCTTGCTCTAAGCCCATTCCACTGAACAAATTGGGTTTGCTTTTTGATAGTGAAGGATCTTCGAACACTTGCGGGCTTTGTAGATCAAAAAGTTGGTGCCAAGAGGAGACCTTCCCAAAGCAAAGCTTCCACAATCCAGTGTTTCATTATAAATCAGACCACTAGAGCCAAGAAGAAGTGACTCAAAGAGACTGCATTCACAAAAGACTGATGCAATTATTTGCATAGCAATTTATTAATTTATGATCAGGATAGTGTTTCGAGACTATAAAATACCAATGTCCCCCATCCAAGAAAGTCACTCCCCTGTGCCAGAAGACAAATAATTCATCAGCCAGTAGCTTGGTGGCATGGAATCAGTCTTGGGGACCACTTCACTAGGCCATGATGAGGTCTGACAGATCACTGCCACAGTGACCCAACTCATGGTACCAAATGTAGCATTTGCCAACCTCTACATTTTTGAGCTTCTCTTTTCTAGGGACCCAACTGACCGTGCCTCTCTAGGACCCATCATCTATATCTTGTCCACACCATCTATAACTGGTCTACTTGATATCTACTTAATCAATTATAATTATAATGCAGTCCTGCCTTCCTGAAGTTTCACTGGGTCACCATGATGAAAATTTGTGTGATCCCAAATTCTTCAGGTGTTCTCTTTTGTCCTACCCCCACCAGTAGCTAATCTCACCCTTCCTGTACCAGTTTTACTAGTTAACCCACAGAAACAGTCATATGTCCATAATGGTCAAGGTCTTGACAACTCTCAGAGATACTATTGGCTGTTACCTGGAAGGGTACTCACTGGAACCGTGAATTTCACAGTGGCAAAAGAAAACATGCAGGGCTTGCGATGAATCAATATTGACCTCCACACATACTTAGGGAACAGATTCCTGCCATGGGTTTGCCACATTTCTTTCCTTTGTAAAAAAATTATTATTTATTTATTTGACAGAGAGACAGTGAGAGAGGGAACACAAGCAGGGGCAGTGGGAGATGGAGAAGCAGACTCCCCACCGAGCAGGGAGCCCGATGCGGGGCTCGATCCCTGGACTCTGGGATCATGACCTGAGCTGAAGGCAGACGCTTAACGACTGAGCCACCCAGGTGCCCCACCACATTTCTTTTTCTTTTTTTTTTTAGATTTTATTTATTTATTTGAGAGAGAGAGAATGAGATAAAGCATGAGAGGGGGCAGGGTCAGAGGGAGAAGCAGACTCCCCGCCGAGCAGGGAGCCCGACATGGGACTCGATCCCAGGACTCCAGGATCATGACCTGAGCCGAAGGCAGTCGCTCAACCAACTGAGCCACCCAGGCGCCCCACATTTCTTTTTCTTTGAAAACTCAAGACAATGTTTTTCTTAATCAAGACATTCAGTGAAGATGGCAGACTGAGTTTTGAAGATGCCACTTCTATTAAGGACACACACACTCTGAGAGAATTCTACTATTTCTCTATCTCAACTCTTATACCTTTACCTCTCTGGCTTTTGTCTGATTACATGAAATATCTCTGCTCTTATGTTCTGCCTGTATTTGCTTCCAGCTGTGGCAATTTCTCCTCAGTCTCTATTTGTTATTCTTCCCTTTGTGCTTTAATGACTCTACGATGGGCATCTCACACAATCCCCCCCTTAAATTTTCCCTATCTCTATTCTTTCTTTCTTCCTCTCTTCATCTATTTCCTCTTTTTCCTTCAGATATTTTTGTTTGTCTGGGTTTTTTTTTTTTTCTTAGATCTTATTTTTTTTAGGTAATCTCTACACCCAACTGAGGCTCAGACTCACAACCCTGAGATCACACTGCTCTATCAACTGAGCCAGCCAGGTGCTCCCTTCCTTCGGATGTTTATTTAATCAGTCTGACCCCACCCCCTTCTTTCTCTCTCTGTGGTTCTCCTCAGTCCCTTTGCCTATTCTTCCATCTCAGTTTACATCCCTGATTCTGACTTCTCTTCATCTTCCTACCAGTCTCTGCCTATCAGTTCCTGCCAGGCTCTTTGTGTTTTGCACTGTAGCTGTTTGTCCTTTGTCTTTCTGCCCGTCTCCAACTCAACATATTTCCCACTTTCTTTTTCTGCCAGTGAATCTTTCCATTGAGTGCCTCCTCCACCTTCTGTTCTTCTGCTTCTCAGCTCCCCTGACTAATTCCCCTCATCTCTATTCCCCCCCTCTCTTCTCTCGCTCTGCCAATCTCTCAAAATGCCTCTCTTCCCTCCATCTCTCCTGAGTCTGGTTGTTCCTCTTTGTCACTCACTCTATTTCTCTGTCTAGACCATCTGTGCCTTGCACCCTTGGGGTCCCTTCCTGTCAGCTTTTATTTCTATTTTTCTTGCCCTCTTTGTTTATGCCCATTTTACCAGTTCTGTGACTTTGGTTCCCGTCAGCATCCATGACAGTCTTTCTTAACATTTCGCCAAGGATTCCCTGTCTTGCCCTCCATCTCTCTTCACCTCTGTCTCTTCGATACAGGTGATCCTTCTCTTTCTTTCTGTCCCTCAATCTATGTATGTCTATTTCTATCATCCCTTTTGTCTTTCTCTAGCTCAACTTTTGGGCAGAATTTTTTTGTTTTAATCTTCCTGTCTCTTGCTTTTGCTCATGTATCTTTTCTGTGGATAATTAAGGGTTATCTCTTTCTGTCCATTGTTTAGTAGAATAGCAATCTTAATCTGCTTTACACTTCCCATAACCTGGCTGTTCTGCCTGAAGAAAGGAGAGATTTTGTGCCATAGGGGAAAGAAAAGGCAGCAGAAGTGGTAGGGGAGAGGGGCGCCTGGGTGGCTCAGTCAGTTAAGCGTTGAACTCTTGATTTCAGCTCAGGTCACGATCTCAGGGTTGTGAGATCAAGCCTGGCGTTGGGTGTAGAGCTTACTTAAAAATAAAATTAAAAAAAAAAAAAAAGAATTTTTCCTGTCTCTTAAGTGAGATGAGAGAATGAAAATTGGATGGTTAAAAAATTACCCCAGGGGCACCTGGGTGGCTCAGTCGGTTAAGCACCTGACTCGTGGTTTCAGCTCAGGTCATGATCTCAGGTTTGTGAGATGGAGCCTGCTCAAGATTCTCTCTCTCTCTCTCCTATTGCCCCCACCTCTAAAAAAAAAATTGCATGGGAGAAAGGAGAGGACAAGCTTGCAAATGAATCCTAGTAGAGGGTCAGATATTCCTTAATCCCTCTGCAGGCAAGTGAAAGCCTTCCCTCATCTACTTCTACCCCTGCCTTCATCCTTCCATGAAAGCCTGGACCTTGGAAAACGTTACACTTGGCACCCAGAATGGGTGTTTAAGTCCCTGCTATGGCTCTGGACTTCAGTACTGTCCTAAGAAGACAGACCTAGTCCCATGCTCATTCCTTTAAGGATCTGCACTTTTGGACGCCTGGGTGGCTCAGTTGGTTAAGCGACTGCCTTCGACTCAGGTCATGATCCTGGCATCCCAGGATCAAGTCCCGCATCGGGCTCCCTGCTCAGTGGGGAGTCTGCTTTGCCCTCTTGACCCTCCCCCCTCTCATGCTCTCTCACTCTCTCTCCCTCAAATAAATAATAAAAAACCAAAATCTTTTCAAAAAAAAGAATCTGCATTTTCTTAGAAAAGGTCAGGAGATAGTAAGAAAATTTAAAAGGCAGATGCTGGGCTTTTTAAAAATTTAAAAGGCAGTAGGACTAGCAGTAAGTACAAACACAGTAGTGTGGCTTTGAGAACCAGAAATAGCAGCAACTCTAGTGGTCCAGTTCTTCTGTTTCTTGGCCACTAGTACGTCCATCCCTACTGCTACAGATAGCACCTGTTGTGGCCTCCTCCCCCTGCTAGAATTTGGTTGCAGGTGAGACCTCTCTTCCCTCTGAACCCACCCCCTCCACATTAGATCTCTCCGGTCCTAATAGGACCTCACCTTTCTTCACCTGTTCCTGTGTTAAAAGTAGAGGATGTCACTGGCAATTTCACTTAGCTTCATGCCTCCTGCCACCCCTTATTGGTAGCACTGGCCGTACCTCGAGTTAGTTTGCTGGAAGAAGCAGTCATCTGATGATGGAATTCACTGAACAATAGCCCAGTTTCCCACCCATCCATGAACATCAGCATTTCTTCTCAGATCCTAGGAATAGGGGAGGGGTGTGAGTGACTTGGAAGAGGGACCGAGATACTGAAAATTCAGTCCAGTCCTTACCCCAATGAAGGACTGTACACTGTAGACCACCATCTCCTTGTCCTGGCCCTACCTCCCCCAGGACTGGCAGAAGAGGAGCCTGAGGCTTCTCTCTAGTCTTTCAGGCTGAGAGTGGAATCATCCCTGGTGACAAGCTCACCATCACGACATCTCCTTGTGCCCCTGGTTTCCTTGTGCCCAGGGATGGGTGGATGAGGCTGAGACCGCAGGACATCGCTGACCAAAATACGGACACCCAGTGTGATGCTTAGGGCACCCACAGTGACCAGCCCAGTTGCACCAAGGATGACCAGAGGAGGAGGCACCTGGTGTTGCTGTCAGATCAGCCACAGACTCATCCACCCCAGAGGCACCAGGCGGAAGAGGACCAGGGTGGCCAGGGTGGCCCAGCTGGCCATGCGGAAGGCCAGGGATGGGGCCTGGTGAGAAAGCAGCAGCAACTGTCGTAGGTGCAGGCAGGCAGAGTTCAGCTCCAGGAGCAGAGACACCATAGAGAAGCCCACATAGTGGCTGGACAGAATGGCGGTGCCGAAGCAGCTCACTACCTGGGGAACCAGGGTCAGAGGTCAGAGGACCCTCCATGACCTCCCCCCCCAATCATGTACCAATATCCCAGGCCTTAAGACAGGGGCTCCCAAGCATTTTGTGGCACCCTATCAAAAACCTGCCCTTTATACTTACCCTTATGTTGGGGCCTGAATGGCCTTAAAATAACCCTTCCATAGGACAGAAGCAGCCTTGGCCCAGAGGCTCTCTCCCCTGGGGCAGCAGCAGCATCTGCACACTTCCATTCCTGGGCTTTCATGCCCCATGCCCACTCCCTATACTGGGACTCCCCTTTCTCAGAAAAGCTCCATATGCAACATTTCTGCAATCAGATGGGACACCCGAGGGAATCCAAGCTACTCAGGCAGTGCTCAGACTCCAGCTGTGGCTAGCAGTCAATCCTCTTCCCCCAAACCAGCCCAAGGTTGGGGAGATCAAGCACCAACAGGGGTCAGAGACTCTGGGAAGTCATTGGACAGAAACCTGAAGAGAAATTGGGGACCCCAGCCTGAGCATACCACCCTTCCTGTGTCTCCTTTCCCCAAGTCTCACCACCAAATGATGACACAGATGTTCCCAGGCCTGGCCCAAGGTCTGGTTCCACAGTATGTCAACTCCATCTGCCAAGAAATAACCTATGGGTGTGGCACGAGGGGGAGGGGCATTAGGCCTCCCCTAAGTTGTAGCTCCTGGAGAGGAATCTTCATCCCCTCCTTTTTCTGGGTCCTCAGTTTCCTTCAGCAAAGCTGCCAGAAACATTTGACCCCTATGGAGAGGGCAAAGGGGACGTGGAGTTACCATTGTTAGGTTGCTCCCCGACCAAATGGCCCGGCATTCCCTGCAGACTCACCCACGGACACAGCCACCAGCACCAGGGCCCAGGGCGGGTGGCCGTGAATCGGGTCGGCAGCCATCTGAGGGTACACCAACAGCCTGTAGGAGGGGGGGGCGGGAACCATGGTCAGCATCGTGCAGACTCAGACCCCATTCTCCCGCTGTGCACGCTCACCCCCCCATTCACACCCCCACCCGGTGTCAGACTATCGAGGTCCCGCTTCGATTTTGAAGGTGCCCGCCGGGTCTTTCAATCTCAGCTTTCCACCCCTCACCCAGGTGCCTCCCGAACCTCTATACCCCGCACTCGAGCAGCGCCCCAACCCCTGTGAGCAGGCTGTACAGCAGGGAGAAACAGATGTTGCGCCACTTCCAACGGTCCTGGGCAGCGGATCCCGGCGCGGGCAGCAGCTGCAGCGCCCAGTGCAGCCCCCGGCAGGCGGCGAAGGAGGCGCCGGTCACAAGGAGCCCCCAAGACGCCATGGCCTGGTGGGCGGGCTAGATCCGGTTCAGTCCCTTGGACCCCCGCGCTCTCAGCCGGGACTCATCCAATGCCAGCTGCGGGCACTGCGCGCGGGCTTCCGGACAGGAACAGGTCCTCGGCCTCCCCGGCCCACCGCGCCCCTGGCGTCCGCTCCAACTTTTCCAGGGTTTGACCACGCCCCCATCACTCGGCTAGGTGGCGATTGGAGCAGCCGTGGGGCCGCGCCCCGGAGCCCCCGCAGCCGATCGCGTCCCGCCCTAGCCGGGGATGGAGGGTTGGGGGCTCCCGGGGACCAAGCCTGGCGACCGAGCTCAGGGGGACTTCCAGCATGTCGATAGGGGTCTTCCCCAACGCCATGTGTCCCAAACCCCTCGGAGCTCCAGCAATAGGTTGCTAATCTCACCTGACGCTCCCACAGGCCCCGCCCCATCGTCTTTCACCTCCTCTCCCCACGCTAACCTCTCACCTGCTGGTCATCCTTCTGCCCACTGCACCCTCCCCGACCTGAAGGTAGAGGCCAGCGCACACCCACTCGCACATGCTTAAACATCGCCACCGCCCTGCCCCGCACCACCCCCCGTCTCAGCTGTGGGGGTACCTCGCTTCCTTGGAGCCACCCTTTCCACCTCCCGAGGTTTCCAGACCTTTAGCACATCATAGCGACCCTAGGATTCCAACAGTCCTGTTCCTTTACGCTGTACCTTCAAACGGAACAACAGCTCCCATTTTGGAGAGGCGACCCACTGGGGACTCCTCCCCCAACCACTTTTGGGGGCCTACAGAGGAGCCTTGCTATTAGGAAGGGGAGGCAAAAGGAAACCACTCAACACCGAAGTCTTGAAAAGCACCCCTCCCCCAAGGGCTTGGTACACGGTAGGTGAATAGAATTCCCTCTTCCAATCTGAGGCGGCAAGGAGAGGCCACACAGGGTCACCTCAAGGTTGGGGCAGAATCAGAGAATAACAAAGACTGATAGGATTCTAGAACCTTTCAGCCTGGAGAGGAAAATCTGCGCCCCTCCCCCATCTTCCAACTCCTGAAGAGTGACAGGTTTTTACTGTTTTCCTTACTCCACTCCACACCTCTTAGCGGGCTGAAAGCCAGTAATTCAGAGCGCCGTTGCCATACATGGAAAGGGCAGATTCCAGCTACTCCCAGAGAATGAAGTTGTCCACATTCTCACAACCCCTTTTCTTCACCAAAACCCCATTATGTCCAAAGGGCTAGGGGCACCCCTTGATTCCTCCACACCCGCCTCTCCAAGCTTTTAAAAAAATTACACTGATTCTTTTAAATTTTATTACATGAAAACCATACACAATATAGAAAATTTTAAAGTTACAGAAAAGCCAAAGAGGAGAATTACAATGACTTTGTTCCACTGTGCAAAGATAACCACCATTAACATTTTGTCTTTTTCATCTGTTTTATGTATACAAGAATATACCCATCTTTTTAAAAAACAAAATTGAGATCACATAATACACATTATTTTTATAACCTTCTTAATATTCAAAGAGCATTTTTCTTTCCAGTCAAATGTTCTTCTACATGACTTTTAATGGCTGTGCGGTACACCATCTGGATGGATATACAATGATTTACTTAAGCAATCCCCCATTGCAAATTTTCATTACAGCAGAAAAGAAATGAATTCCCAATCAGACAGTTGCTTCTCATTTTCTCTATTGCAATACTGGGATGAGCATCTTGTGACTAAATCTTTAACTATTTTCTCAGGATAAATTCCCAAATGTAGAATGACTAGGTCAAAGGCGATGGAAACTTTTAGGGTATTTGAGACATATTACCAAACTGACATCCAGGAAGGCCGTACCAGTTTGCACCCCCATATGCAATGTATAGGAGTGTTATTTTAGTATTACTTTGCCAATACTGGGTCTTTCTTTTTTTAAAATATAGTTTGCTAAGGGAAAAATGCTTTCAGCTATATTTGTCTTTCTTTAATTACTAATGAAACACACTTTGTTTTTCATGGTTTTATCCATTTGAATTTCTTCTATGAATTTCCTTCGTATGTCCTTTCACAGCTGGTTCTTGTTCCTTGAGGCTGCTTTATATAAAAATTACAGGGTAGGGAGGTAGAAGTAGGAGAATGAAGCCGCAGGACACTTTAATACAGTCTCATATCTCTGAGGGAGGCAGTAAGTAACACTGGAGAGAAATAGTGAATGAGGCAGATGGCTGGGAGCTGGCTGTCCTCCCTCCTCCTGGGGTGCTCCTGCCCTTTATGGGTCCCCTCTGCAGGGTGCCCAGACAGGGCCCTGTGCTCTCCAGGCCTGGTCCTTCACTGGTCTTCTGCCTGCCTCTGTGTCCCCAGGCTGCTCTTCCTCATCTTTACTTCATGATGGGTGAGGATGGCAGAGCCACATACCCGGGGCTGGAGGGAGACTCTGTGGCCAGCGAAGCGGGGAGGGGAAGAAAGGATGGAAGCAATGTCCAGGGACAGAGCAATCTTTGTTGCAGACTATGAGTTGACTCAGTCTACCCACCCCCTCCACCGCAGTCCCACACACATCCAGCTTAGGCTGCAGGAGGATGGGTTTAATGATCTACTCTCCCCTAAATCTCTGTTTCTCATAAATGGAGACTAGGACCCTGCTATCTCCACACCTCCGGCTCCACAACAGGACAGCTTCCTACAGCCCCTGAATTTGGCCACCTTCAGGCAGGGAGACTGGGTCATGGTTGAACCACACCAGAGCCTGAGCCCCAAGAGTTAGACTGCATCAGAAGCTAGGGGGTGGTAGGTTTATACTGCTTGATGCCCCAAAGGGGGTCACATCCCATAACCCACCTCTCCTCATTGCTGGAGAGAACTGTCTGCCTGCACAAGCCGGAGCAGGGTCTCACAAATTATCCTGGAAGGTAAAGTGAGGAAAGAAACAGGAACAGCAGTTGCAACCCCATCAGGGGCTGCAGTCCTGTTTCGGGTGGCAGAGGAAGCCTGGGGCCACCTTTGCATGGTGGGATGTCAATGGAGAGACTGAGCTCCTCCTGGCCCCTTGCACTGGTCTAACCTTAGCACCCCCTTCTAACCCTCCCCCCACTCTCCTTCGGTTATGGTGTTCATGGATGGGGGGAGGGGCAATAGCTTATGTGAAAAGCTGTTTTGTTCCCACCCACAGGGAGAGGACAGCCCAGGCTCTGAGTAGCCTGTAGAAGTAGGCTTCTGATTCCCTCTGCATACTCAACCATGTGATTCCCCATCTCACAGGTGGAGAAGCTGAGACAAGAGGTCTAAGGGTCCCACACATAGGTGATTATTCCTGAATCTAGAGTCTAGGCCAGTCTAAGGAAATAGAGGAAAAGGTAAGAGCATGGGGATGACTACTCAGATGGGAGTCTCAGTATGACCTTTTTCCTGAAGAAGAAATGTACTTTGGACCTCACCTGGAAAGGGAGTAGGAGCGAAAGGGAGACAAGGAAGGAGGGCCAAGAAAGACATCTGGGTAAAAGGGTAGACAGTTTTCTTTGCTCCTGTCATCATCCTCCTCTTGTCACACCAGTGTAGACCAACTATCCTTGGTTGGTCACAGCCATCTATTCCCCAAACCAACCAGGGTCTCTAATCTGAAATTGTTCTTTCTTGCTGGGCCAATCTGGCTGAAGGCTCTCCAACTGAACAAGGTCCCCTTCCCTCCCACTGTTCGGACCTTCCCAGCCCCAGTTCTGTCACCTTCCAGATGAAGGGGAAAGCAGCTCCTTCTCCTCTTCCTCCTCCTCCTTGAAGCCAGGGGCAGAGGGCAACAGTTCTTCAACTGGCAGCTTTAGCTGGGTCAGGACATAAAGCTTGCCACTGAAGAACTACTGCGGCTCAGCCAGGTGAGGATGTGGGAGGGACAGGCTCCTAAAAGGAAAAGGAAGAAAAAATGGGAAGGATCTGAGCAGGGCCATATCACAGGGACACTGTCCCACTGGCCATCAAAGTCCAGCTCCAACAGATGCTCAACCTTGTAACAAAGCGTTCTTGGCTCTGACCTGGGCCTGCAGGAGCGGTTAACTTCAGTAAGAAGCAAGAGGCAGCTCTAAACATACTTCCTTGTGCCTCTTTCCAGAACCGAAGGCTGTAGAGACCCAGGTCTGCTCTCACCCCTCCTTGCCCCAGCTATCCATGGAGGGCCCAGCCTCTTCAGCATTCAGAGAGGGCTGGACTTAGAACCCTGGACATACTCCACCAGTTGCCCAGGTACTAGGTGAGAAGTTACACCTTAGGTCCAGAAATGTGAGTTCAGTGATCAGGGAGTTCAGCTGGAAGAGTTTTGGGGGCCTACATCTGGGGAAGAGTGAGGAAGGGAGGAGGTCTAGAGTTTGGAAGGTCAGCAGAGCCTCCAGGGACTGTGAGGAGAGGACAGGGGACCAAAGGCTGGAGGGGAGGGAGGTATGGGCAGGGTGGATGGGCAGCTTCCCCAAGACTCTTAAATGCCAGGCATTCCGCTTGCGCATTCCGGGTACATCTGGTATGAATTCCAGGCTGTCTGCCGGCCCCTCCATGTCTGAACTTTGTTCCAAGTTCCAAGCCCCGCCCCCACAGTTCCAACGCATGAATCAGCAGGAAAAGCCGGGCCCTGCAGCATGGCCCAGGGAGGGGGCTGGGGGCGTGGCAGGCTTGAGGGCCGAGAGCTGGGGAGGGCGGGTCCGTGCTGACACTCAGTCCAAGGGCATGGTCCATGCCAGTGTGAGGAGCCAAAGGCAGTCTTGCCTTGAGAGGTCTATACTCAGAGGGTAAGAAAAATTAGGGTGGGGGTGGGAGGTTTTCAAATTACAAAAACCCTCTTGGGGAGACATGAACTTTGTGGTATCTTCCTTCCCCCAGGTGACCAGTCCAACTCCTTCCCACTCTCCTCTGTCTGAGCCAGCTCTGTTCAGCCCATAGGACTCAACGGCTGCTCAGAGTCTGTGCCAAGCAGGTGCCCTTGGCTGCAGGGCGGGGTGGGCCCAGGGCACTGACCCTCTGACCAGCTGCTCCATCAACTCT